ACAAAAATAAACCTGACGCTCGGTACTCTTTAACGATGCAACAATCCAATGAAAAAGGCAAGATTTGAAAGAATATATCAAAATTTTACCTAGTAACTATTCTGAAATCATAGATCTTAAGAATGAAGTTCATTCCATTTCTTAATACTTTATATTTCCATTAGTGTTTTCGCGAAACTATAGAGGTAGTTTAGCCCGGGAACTCATAGGTCAGGAATACCTAAAATATACTCCTTATGCGCCCAAAGTGCAGCTAGAAGATCATTGTGTTACTTGACTCCGCTACAAGTCTTAATTGAACGAATTAAAAAATAGAAATGCAACTATAACCAATACATTTCGTATGCTGGTGGTATTATTAAAGCCAAACGTTTAACGTTTAAAAACATAGTACAACTCCAAAGCACAATAAACACAAAAACAACCATTAAAGATGATAAAAACGTAGCGATGAAATTGCCTATAACATTTTTAGGCTAAATCTGAACATTATTTTTTCGGGCACGAGTACACATTTCTTGAGCGTCAACACACAAAACAAATACAACATCCTTGATGATAAATAACGGTAAGCTTTGCTGCACATAACGGAAATAATAAATAACAGTTGCAACGCATAACGGTAAGCAATACGGCCACTAATGATGAATAACTTTATGAGACTCATATAGCGCGACGTGAATGATAAAAAATGCCTGACGTACATTAAATGCAGCTCAATGCATCAGCATTGATCAGGATCTAGGATACCGGCTCCCACAATTTGATACAAAAATAATGAGTTCGAAATAAGCTCTGATTAAAAAATTAATTTAACATATAGTAATAGAGTATGACCAAAGAAGTATTTAAGAGCAACACAAAAGGACGTGGCACTAAATATATCCTCTGTAATAACATAACGTAGGATAAAACTTGGATACTAAACTCATGTAATTGCTGCATCCTAACACAACCCAATTAACCATCCAAAGAAACTGATACTTTGCTAAGCAGCACATAAAGCAGTTTTCATATCAAATCTTTAATAACTTGAGGCGCCTGGCAGCTTGAGGCAGTAAATAGAATGCGAACTGTTCACAAACAACTGTTAGTTTCAAACTCATTACTCTCTTAGTGTGCATACATTTTCTTCTATCATATCGAATTGGTTTTGCCAGCAAACTCGTACGTCAGAATTACACAAATTTGCACATTTCACTTCCAAAATACAACTAGAAACGATCAGGATAATAAAGCCTAAACAATCTCTGCACAAGTGAAATAAACTCTTTTCGACAACAGGAAACTCAAAAGAACCAATCTACACTTTCAAGTCACAGGTCCTTCAGCTGTAGAAAAACTATAAGTGAAGGAAATGTGGCATGCAAACATTGAAGATCTTGCTTGACACTTGAGCTCGTAACACGTAAATAAAATCAGATTAAACATTCACTGAGGATGAGAACATTCACCACATGAAATAGATCCATAAACTGTTGAAAGTAACATCCAACACTTTAATAATACTTTAATACCTCGGAGGATACCCGACACTCAGAGGATACCCAACACCTCGGAGGATACTAACACCTCAGAGGATACCTGCACCTCAGAGGATACCCGAACACCCAATAATGATACACATGAACTGACAGGACAGTCAAGGCGAGGTGAGAGTGGCCGGTGAGTGCATTCTTAGTATCCTACGAATACGAAGGGTAAGCAGCTAGTCGTTCTTGGTGATGCCGAGGGCCGCCTTCAGGAGGGACAGCACGTCTGTCTTCCTGTGCTGCTCGTCTGTAACGTCAACGTCTTCGTCAGGAATGCAATCAAAGATCGATACAACACTATAAAATAATATTACAAATTACAATACTATACAACATAGCACCATACAGTCAAACGGCTCCATACAGTCAAACGGCACCAGACAATCAAACGGCACCATACAATCAAACGGCACCATACAGTCAAACAGAACCAGACAATCAAACAGCACCATGAAAAAATACAACAAGAAAACAATATTACACTAATATGACAGCGCGATGTACCAGTAAGGCAACAATGAATAGCTCATACAACATTGTTAAAGCCTAGAAGGAAAATTGAACTTCTATTAAATTTATTGCATGTCAGTGAAATGCAGTGGATGATTAGCAATATTAAGAGATCAATAATTATAAATTAATTTAAATTTAAATCAACGTAAAAGTCAACTTAAAGACAAGGAGCATTAAAATGGAGTGATGGATAATCTTAATCGCATGCAAGAAAAGATATTGCACACGCGGAATCAACCGTCGCAATATGAAATTAAAGGCATGATGGAAATTAAAACTATCAATATTATATAGTACATTGCTGAACAATTGGCAATACGTATAAGATAAGAAGGCAGACCAACTAATGAGAAGGATTAGGGATACCTTTGGTGCCGGTGACTTCTCTCTCGAGGTCGAGTTTACTCCGCGCGATGCTCAGGATGCCTTCCTCGATGCTGTCCCGAGTCACCAACCGCGTCACTGTCACGGGCCTGTCACGGGGCATGGATATGGTCAAGCTGTACAGTGTAACAATATGTATGGTGAAGCTGTACAGTGTAACAATATGTATAGTGAAGCAGTACAGTATAACAATATGCATGGTGAAGCTGTAGTATAACAATATGTATGGTGAAGACGTATAGTGTAAAAATATATTAAGCTTTGGGGCAGGCGTACTGGCTACGCTCCTTGATGGTGAAGCTGTACAATGACTATATGCTGTTGTATATATAGCCTTCTGAATGGAGTGCCAACTGAACTTTTTGTTTTGAAGCTGTACATGGTACTAGTGTACAGTGACTGCTTACTGTTATATATACTTCTAGGAGTCATAATGACTATCACTTTTGAACGAATGACAATAAGTTGACCAATGCGTTGGTCTGATCTTAGATCGCTACGTCCCCCATTCAAACAATATAGTAGTAAATGTGAGGACATTTTTATCGCCCTAAAATCCAATGCTTTATTCACGTGGGAGCATTGCAAGAGCATTTTCATCGATCCAGCAATTTCATGCATTTATTTTAACACGTTGACTAGGATTGCTTCATCTTGTACAATTATTTCATTTTTTGTACTGTTTTTAAACAGGGTTGCCAGACGGTCATTTTTTCCGGACAAATTCCGTGATTTAGTTTTTCTCAATTGCGTTGGCCGGCTAAAATTTACGATATGGGTACTTCCTAATTAAATTTTAAATACTGCAAAAAGAAAATCAATGGAATTTTTATAGTGGAACCTACAAATAAACTAGTATATTTTGAGTTATCGGCCTTTTTTGGCCCTTTTTGTTCTCGGATTTGGCCAATTTTAGGCAACCTGAATTATGTACCACTACGTCCTGGAGGAATACATTTCGTGGTACGCATATGTACCACTTCGTAGTCAACGTGTTAATGGATGTTTTACAGCGCCCGTAGCAACCCTCATCTAGAATATAGGCTTCGGCCGCACCAGCCCAGCCCTACACACCTGGTCTGGCCCACCCTATGGCAGCGGTCCTCGGCCTGCTTGTCGTTGTAAGGGTTGAAGTCGATGTCGTGCAGCAGAACGCAGTTCGCCGACGTCAGGTTGATGCCCAAACCTCCCGCCTTCGTCGACAGCAGAAACACGAAGATCGACGGGTTCTCGTTGAACTCGTCGATCATCTCCTGTCTGAAGGGGCATGAGATATTAGGTACTGTCTGATGGGGAGTGAGGTCATTAGCTGCTGTCTGATGGGGCATGAGGTCATTAGCTACTGTCTGACGGGCATGAGGTCATTAGCTACTGTCTGACGGGGCATGAGGTCATTAGCTACTGTCTGATGGAGCATGAGGTCATTAGCTACTGTCTGATGGGACATGAGGTCATTAGCTACTGTCTGAAGGGGCATGAGGTCATTAGCTACTGTCTGAAGGGGCATGAGGTCATTAGCTACTGTCTGACGGGGCATGAGGTCATTAGCTACTGTCTGATGGGACATGAGGTCATTAGCTAGGTACTGTCTTACGGGTTGCATGATGGTCACATTCATCTACAGTCCACAGCAAACACCACGTAACAATAAAATACATGACCGCAACCACAACAGTAATGTCAAAAAAATCAACTACAACGACAAAAAAAAAACACTTCCACAATAACGACAATAACTGGACTCTTAAAACACTCCCACAATAACAATAATTAAGTGGACTCCTGAAGAGCAGGAAGAGCACCTCTCGTATATGGGCGTCTGGCCGTCGAGCCTGAGGAACTTGTGGTCGCGCAGGCGCATGTATTCCTCGACGATGTCGAGCACGATCACGAACTGCGAGAAGACCAGCACCCGGTCACCTGCGCGGACGAGGGGCAGGTTAGTGAAGTGAGGGGGCCACGGAGGGGCAATGGAGGGGAGGGGCAATGGAGGGGAAAGGGGCAATGGAGAAGAGAGGGGCAATGGAAGGGAGAGAGGCAATGGAGGGGAGAGGGGCAATGGAGGGGAGAGGGGCAATGGAGGGGAGAGGGGCAATGGATGGTGAAGAAGCAGTGATGGGAGGGGGCAACGGAGGGAGAGGCAATGGAGGGAGGGGCAACGGAGGGAGATGGGGCAATGGAGGGAGATGGGGCAATGGAGGGAGGGGCAATGGATGGTGAAGAAGCAGTGGTGGGAGTGGCATCATGGTCAATTAGTGAGGTAAGTGAAGGGGGATAACAATGTTTGTTTGAGAAGCGTGTGGCGGGTAATAGAGATTCCGGACAACAAACAGGAACAGTGATCATAGATACAACGATGTAACATGAGGTTTCCTTATGTTTCCTCATAACATCGTCTACTGATACTCATAAAGGTAAATCAACATATAAAAATATAGACCTGCTACATAGTTACCTAAGCCTTACCTCGAGCCTTCATCTCAGGCAACAACTCGTCAAATTTTTGGAACTTCCCTGACGCCAGAATGTGGCTGTCATCCAACTTGAACTCCTCAGTCGCCTGCAACACCAACAAGCCATCATGAGGAGAAATAACAGCCAAATAATACATGATGTAATTAATACGTGGATATGATCGGAAGCAGAGAGGAAGTGAAAGAACTGTTATAGCGTCAGTCTCGTTACAGCAGTGTACAATGTGTGGTGCAAAAGAAGCATAACTGCTCATGGCAGGGGAATAATTTACGAAATTATCACAACAACAGGTGAAAATATTACTGGCAACAACACTCACATCACAACATCGCTAGCTACAGGAACATTATTAAAAACACCCATGTACAAGCACTACCACCAGCACCACATCAACTAACAATGATCAAAAACCTTCGTCCCAGGTCCTACTCCTACTCACAGGGTAGGAACAGCAGGTCTTGTGGATCTCAAAGTCTGACATGACCGTCAGGTCCTCGACGATGTACTCCAGCACGCTGTTGGGGTGAGACGTGCGCTTCAGCACCTTTGCTATCTTGCGCAGCTTGTCATCTGTGTACAGCTTCCTGCATGTGTAAACGATACCAATATAATGTTTATTCACATATTATGTTTATTTCAAATGATATGCCAAAGCTTCCGGTGTATGTAAACAATACTAATCATATTATCTTTATTCACATAATATGTTTATTTCAAATTTAGGCCAAAGCTTCCAGCGAATGTAAAAATACCCATATTACTCAACAATAATATGTTATAATTAACATACAAGAATGTAGGTTTTAAATTTTCATGCCACAGCTTCTTATACGAGGCATCAAAATCTAGCGAAACAAATAAATTTGTCTCACAGACCCTTCACAATAAAACAAGTTACGAGTTTCCAACACGGCCAGGCAATCACAGACGGTTGTTTAAGTGAAACCCACCAATCACAGAGGAGATATTGGTTCCTACATGTAGATAATTAGGCTTCTACGGGTAGGTACTTAGGCTGCTACGAGTACTTAGGTCACTACTTGTACTGAGGCCGCTAGGCATACTTAGGTCTCTATGTGCATTTACACCGCAGCTGATTCTAAGGCCACAACGCGTACTTAGAGCGCTACATATAGGTACTTGAGTTAGTTTCAATATCAGGACTCAGGAGCAGACCTGTAGAGGAGGGGGTGGTTGGCGACCCGCCGTAGCGTCATCAACATGTTAGCACTACTGTCCTCAGGCGTGGCCTCCTTGTCCTCGTTATCGTCACGCTTGTTCTTGTTGTTGTTTTGGCTGGTCCCTGAGACACCAAGACTGCCTTGTCCGAGCTGCAGCTCCTCCAGCTCTGTCAGCTTCTCAGCTTGAACTTTCTCCCATTTCAGCTTCATCTGTTCATAATTGATTCAAACATTAGCAGAATAGCAAGCATTGATATTATGAATATGGATGAGAATAATGAAAGGACTTGAGAATAATTCTCATTGATAATGAGAATCAGAAAGGACTACCAACAACTTCTTTACCAGGCAGACCTATGACAAAACCTTCCCTTGTATTGGCATAATTCACAGCCACCTACTCAATGTTTGCGGAACCCACCACCTCATCCCCTGTGTGGACACGTCCCACACACCCCCACACCTGCTAGTCCCCACACACCCCCACACTCCTACGCTGGTGTAAAGCTTACGCTGCTCTGGGTGCATGTCCACCGTCACCAGCACGTCGTGCTTTTCTGGCAGGTCCTGTAAGAGAGCCCAATATTTAATTATCAAAATTTTTTATATTTTATTTTTAATTTTTTAATTAGAGATTAGCTTGCTACAAAATCTATGCTTGCCCAAATGCTGTCTTTCTGTTTTATGAATACAATTGCGCACCTGGCGCATCAGCGTATGTCAGAAAAAAATAGCATATAACTTCTACATCAGGGTTTCTAAACACCGCGGCAGCTTTTGTTCGAATCTGACACTTTTAAAGCCTTTTCCGCCCGCTGTGCACCTGTACACCAGCATGTGCACCAACAGTAAGACATGAATGATTGATTGACTTCGTCTGAGAGTAATTTCATTTCAAGATCCTCGATCCCGCCTCTGATGGTTTGGATTTGAGGATTTTATAATCCCTACATATATTTAAATAAAAACTTGTCCTAATACGCGAACAGTTCTTATTCTCTTAAAAGTGTTCCAAAAGTTTGCAATAAAGATATGGCGCATTTACTTGGCGTTTTCATATGTAGTTGACTTTTAAATTCTCGGTAAACTTGCAATTGCTGCAGACTAATGAATAAAAAAAGGTACAATAAATATAGCAAATGGCATTTTTTTATATATCCGTGATTGCTAGAATAAACTCCATTTCATTGTGTCAAGAGCATAGAAAAGATTGACGTCTCTATTGGAAGCAGCGTTTCATCAAGACAAAGAAAAGTCTGAAAGCGGCTATTAATTGATATTTTAATAGAGTAAATAGACCAATGCATAATAACAACGAATGTACACAAAATGAAGGTGCCGATTTTCATACACAAGAACATCAGTCAAGACAAGACATCTTATTTGAGAAATGTATGTGATTTTCATACACGAGTTTATCTGTTAATTCAAGGCGTCATATCTGAGAAAAGAAGTACATGGTATGCATACACGCGTATATCAGGCAATGCAATGCATCTTATTTGAGTTAAGAAATAAAGTACACGATTTTCATACATGCAAATATCAGTGAATACAAGGCTTGTTATCTGCCCACCTTGAGGACATCAGTTTTGAGGCGTCGCAGGAAGAAAGGCTTCATGATGCGCTTGGCTTGCTCTATGCGCTTAGCCTCGTACTGACTCTTGTTGCGGTCATCCGACCCCTTCTGCAGAGCAGGAGAGTGCAATACTTGTAATCAAATAGTATTTAGTAAGTATTTAGTAATAGTATTTAGTAATACTACAATTGATAAGAATAAATATTACTATAATCAAATAATAATACAGTATTGTAATAGAAGATCATTCTCTCAATTCACCAAGCAAAATTAGGATGGCAAAAATGTTCACACTAATTTCAAATAAATTACATATCAAACAATAACAAACTATCCACACTACGGCTGCCACATAAGTTGGGGAACAGGAACTAATGAACCACTTACTGAAACCTATAATAAAAAAGAAACCTAGAAGCCGAAAATAAATCATTATTTACCGGGAACATGGAGAAGACTTGCTTGAGTTCTTCCTTGCGTCCTTCAAAGAGCTGAGGCATCACAAACACCAAGATGGACATGAGCTCAACAAGATTGTTCTGCAGGGGCGTGCCCGTCAACAAGACGCGACACTCGGCAGATACTCGCATGAGATTCTCAAAGCGCGACGTGTTCATATTCTTAAGCATGTGGGCTTCGTCGAATATGACAGTATGCACGCGAAGTCTCTTGAAGAGAGCTCGGTCCTCTGTGGAACTGTACATGGTGTTGTATGTGGTCAGGATGATGTGCGTATTTTCGTCAAGCTGATCTTGCAGAATTTGTGCCCTCATGCCTCTACGTTCCTCTTGAGATCCATGGTACACTAGCACTCCTAGACTGGGGCACCATAGTTCCAGTTCACGGGCCCAGTTATCCAGCGTCGAGGACGGGACCACAATAAGACTGAGGTCCTGAGGATTGATGGTCTCCTTCACATGCGCCAGGAAGGCAATTGCTTGTACCGTTTTTCCTAGACCCATTTCATCTGCCAAGACGCCGTTAAGTTCATGCTGGAGCATCAAGGATAGCCAGTTGAGACCAATCATTTGGTAGCCTTTAAGTGTCATATTAGGGTTAAGTAGCTTTGGTTGCTGGCTTATAGCAGAGTCTGTTTCCTCGCCGCTCAGAAGTGAGGCAACAGTCTCGTGTATCTGAGAAGAAATGAGCTCACAGCGCTTCATAAGCTGCACGACAGTATTGCGCTTTTGTAAGGCATTCTTGACGCTGTTCAGCATGTCAGGAGATATATATTTCTCCCTCTTGAACACTTCGACCAGATGCTCCCAGTTCTTGAAGGGACGTAACGAGGCAATGAGCTCTCCCTTCTTCTTGCTGCAGGTGGGGATGGCGCAGATTTCCTCCTCAGACGCAGTGTTTAGGAAGCTCAATACAGAGTCCCTCATACTGAGCACCTCGGTCGTCACCACGCCACCACCCTCGTCTTCACACTCAGAGTCGTCGCTGAAATACACATTGCTTTTGCCGATGTACAAATCTTCTTCATCTTCTTCCCCGTAATCAACTTGGCTAAACCGAGACGAGGCACCCAATATTTTGAACATTTTCTTCTTGTCCTGCATGCGTCTTTTTGCTATCATCTTCGGATCGTTCATTTGGATGGCTCTTCTTCTTTCTTCCTCTTCTTTAATTCTCGCTAACCTTTGCTTTTCTTCGATCTCGACAAGCTGCCTTCTCTGAATTTCTTCCTCTTCTTCACGCTTCACCTGAGCTTGTATTTGGCTCTTCATGACAAGTCTTTGGCGAGCCTCTTGCTTCATCCTGAGCTCTTCTCGGCGCTTCTGTTCCTCCTCGCTGCTCAGCTTCTCAAGCTGCTGCAGTAGAGCGTCTGTGTGAACATCGGCGTTTCCATTCACCGTCGCATTTAATACAGGATTCCCATTAGAACTTTGAGAGACATCTTCAGAAAAAGAGAAACTATCCTCGCGTAATAACTTCTCGTTGAGCTCATCAGTTTGTTGCAGCTGACAGAGCAGCTTGTAGCGCTCATCTCGCCTCCTCTGCAGACGCTCCTGCAGCAGTTGCTCCTCTTTCTGCAGCAGTAGCAGCTGCGTAGCATCGTCGGGCGAAGCAGTGCTGAGACTTTGCTTCTCCCGCAGCACTTCACTCAGTCGCTCCGCATCCTTCTGGCTCAGCTCTTCTTCCTTATTTACCTAAAAACATGAATGGATTTAAATGATCTAAATGTGACAAGGCACTTCTGTGCTCACACAAAAATTATGTACCGGTACGTCAATTTTTTATTGCATTTTTTTATTACTTCCGGTATATAGATAGAAAGCAAGGTTCTCCACAAACATCATAGACTAAAAAAGAGAAAGTATTGCACATAAAAGTTGTACAGCGCTACGTTTCCGAGTTCAGACGACCTGGAGCTGTAACACAAAAAATAGTTACGAATTTGTAACTATCGTTGCCAGCCAATCATTAGATGATGGCTGATGGCAGTTAACTGATGGCTTTTTGACAGTTAAACCAAACGATCACAAATGAGAACTAGGCGCTACATGTACTAAGGCCGCTGCGCATACTTGGGCTGTTATGTGTACTTAAGATTTTTTGTGCATGCAAGTTTGGATAGTACGGCCCCAAGAAATAGTGCAAACCTGTAGCTTGAGTTTCTGGAGGCGCTCGGCGACAGCAAGCCTCCTCTTAACCTCCTTGCTCTGCTGCTCTTCCTCCTCCAGGTGTGCCGACGCCTCCTTGAAGTTGTAGCGGAACCGAATCAGCACGTCCTGGAGCTCCTGCACGCAGGGGGGGAGGTGTCAGCAAGTGGAGAGAAGGGTGTCAGCAAGTGGGGAAAAGGGTGTCAGCAAGTGGGGAGAAGGGTGTCAGCAAGTGGGGAAAAGGGTGTCAGCAAGTGGGGAAAAGGGTGTCAGCAAGTGGGGAAAAGGGTGTCAGCAAGTGGGGAAAAGGGTGTCAGCAAGTGGGGAGTAGGGTGTCAGCATGAGGGGGTTTGATGATGTCACACCACATGCAGCAGTGTTAGCACGTTAATTCATCACCAGTGCAGAATATAGGCTGCCCTCCATTGCAGAAAACCTATTCCATTGTTTAGAAAATTATGTACCACAAATCACTAATAAACACTTTCACCACACAAATATTTTTGATCACACTCCCTCTATCAGTTATATTTCTTGAAGTTCATTGTGAATCAGATATAAAATAAAAATGTAGGAGCAAAAGAGATAGGTAGTTAATGTAGATTGATTAACTTGGTTAAAGTTACTTAGGTAATCAGACTGAAACTATTAATAGCATCATTCAATTTCATAGATAATGCAGCAAGCTTATAAGTAAAACATTCACCATCTTGTCATAGCGAGGGAACATGTCTGCAAGCGCCTCGAGGAAGGTCTCTACGATGTTGTCAGGGGGCTGGGAATCATAGCTGCGGCACAGAAGTTTATCAGCTTTATCTTCAGTGGCAGGCGACGCTTTGAACTTCTTGGCAGGTCGCTGGAGCTCTGCATCGTCTTCATCATCTGAGTCAACTATTCGGTTGTTGCGAACCTAAAATAACAGTCATATTTCAGGCAAAATTCACAGCAAACTTGTAATGTTGTATGAGAATTGTTTTTGAATATATTATCAAGAAATGCACAGGTCAAACGAGATGATGCATAGATGCATCATACAAATACTTATATACCTATATATATCATTTTCGGATATTACCGGAACCTGAAAGTCTAAGTTTAGTGGAAGAATAGAGTGCATTGCAAAACTGGAAGGAAAATAATGTATCAAAAATTAAATTTTTACTTGCAATACAGAAATTTTATTTAAAAAACACTTAATATTTTTTTCCATAGTTTGCATTGACGCTTAAATAACAGTTCTATGTTCTACGTAACATGTGGGTTTGAAGGAGTGTTTCATCACTAAGCACACATAAGTTTTGTTTTCATTAACATAATGGAATTAACAATAACATAACATTTGAGTTTATGGGATTTTACAATTGAACAGATTATTGATCCCTACTAACGCTGGGTCAAGCTGCTAGTTACTTATAATGGCTTGTTAAGTATAATTTAGACAAAAAAAAGATTAGGAATGGCATCATAACTTTGAATAATACCACTAAGTTCACAAATAATTAGGAGGTTATATAGTAGGTACCTTTATCCTGACAATGGGACTGTCGTTCTCACAGGCATCACCATTTTCTGCCTCTGCGGTGTCTTCTTTGCCATCATAAACTGGTATAAGAGAATAAAAAATATCAATGTATTATCAGAGCGTAATTTTAATGGAATTCAACATGTTATAATGCAATACGTATATTAGTAAAGCAATGGAATTGAAAGAAATTACTTGATTGCTCGTCAGGTAAATGTTCATAAGATTATAGAACAGGTATGAATAATGTCACACATTACCCAAAGAGGCAACTGAAAGACTGATTGAAATACTGCATGAATTTAACTTATATTGTTTAAAACTATTTTTTTATTGGCACGTAATGATTCAACTTAATATCGATTTCCATCCAATGAATTCAATATTATTGCATTTTTCTTCCTTGACAGGATATCATATGTTGTGCAATGTAATTCATTACCTACATTATATTTTCTACTAAGCATTGTGAAATTGGCTGTATGTCAAGTTTTATATACCTACTAGTACTATGTACATAATAAAAAATGCACTATGTTTAGCAAGGGTATCTCACCACCATTGGTTGAAGATGGAGAGGAAAAGAGTGCCGAGGATTGACTTTGAGGGGACGAGGTTGGGCTTTTGGTCGAGTATAACTTGCTGGCATTGAAGGCTGAGAAAGCCTGTGCTGTGGTAGAGGCGACATTTGTTTTGAATGTGATGACAGTGGAGGGCTTACGGACCACTATGGTGCTCACTTTAGGGATCGTCTTCATCAGAGAGTCTGGATTCTGAGACCCCGCAGTGCCTGGAAAAATGAAGTTAGTTTTACTCATCATTTTCACAACTGAGGTTATTGAATAGAAATGTTGGGCAAATGTATGTTCATCATTCATAATACAGATTTTGCACTATTAATTTAAAGAAAAATAAATTATTTACCACTTATAGAGCACATGCTACTACCTTGATCAAATATCAACATAGTTATTGCTTTGTGCTTTTGAATGTAGTAATGTACATGAAGAACTCAATTATTCTAAAAATTTCAGTAACACTGAAATTGAAACTCTAATTAGGAACTAATAAATAATGAATTAAAAAATGGCCAAATGTAAAATGCTCATGAAGTTCATGAGAGTTAAACCATACATTAAAGCAATGAATTTTCAGAGAATGTGATGAACATCCAACAGGTCATATAACTTGTTCCAATAAGTTCACATGTAATTACTTGAAACAATTGTCAGTGCCAGGATGCTTTCCAGCTCCTCTTCTTTCAAGCTGCTTCAAATTATGATACAAAATCGTTATGAGGAATATAAATTAAGATATTGAAGCTTCATAACAATGGAAGTAAATGTGATCTTAATTTAAAATAACGATGATGCTACAGGAATAAACTGTAGTAGTAATAATGAAAAGAGTATTAATTTCATTATAGCAATACCTTGAAGTTCCTTCCTAACCGGGGAGTCAATGAAGAGCATTCTGGATGTAGGTCCACTTTGCCTGACAGCAGCACCCAGCACTGGACTAGTGCTGCCACCAGCACCATCTGTGAGGAGTGAGGGGAGATTCATGAATATGTTAAAACAAGCGTCATCTGATAAATAAAATGTATATAGTACCTACAATTAGTTACATTTAGCAGAAACATCATCAACACACCTTGGTGCTGTTGCTTGCACCTCTCATCACAAAAATGAAGAAAAATTTAAAGTTCATCACAATTGAAGAGAATTGTCATTGCTACTCAACCTCTTCATTCTCTATTATGCTTCAAGATATTAACTGATACTTGGAGATGTCAATGTTATGACATGTCAACTGGCAGAAATAGGGGTATAGGCCTTTAGGTATATATATGTCGTTATCAAGCAGCATTATAACAAATCTAGTCATCAAAAATCCTAGTAATATCTGAATATTTAGCTGCAGTTATTTTGGCTCACCAGTTTCTGGATCCCTCCTCACAAAGCGCAGGATGTTACCTGTATAAGAATCATTCAATTTATAAACATGTGTTCATAAACAAAATTTAAATTGAATTGATTAATATATACAGGGTTACAGTATTTCATCCCATATTTTGACAGTATTTTTGTACATTCTGTACGTACAATAAAACATACCATAAAAAATCACAATTAAACATGAACTGCATTAGCCTAAATAGGAATACAGATGAAATTTTGATTGATTGCAATGGGGGGCAACATCTCCCACAGGTCTTTACGAAAAATGCATGCATTTTTAATTTTAGTGGTTCAAATGAGGTAAATCTTTTCAAACCTTTAGTTTGAACAGATACCTACAAAATTTATAACGGTCATGGTAAGCAAATTTTTCCATCCATAACTGCCATTCAAATTCATAAACCTAGATTAGATTACATAATGAACTCAAGTTAGCAAGTTGGTGAAAAGCATGAATTGGCAAGGGTACAATATGGCATCTATCTATATATATAACTATTATATAGCTATTTACCACATTGTTAACAAAATCAGAATATCTTATGCATGACTGAGTTGGAAAAATATGCCATTTGTGCCAGGTTGTGCAAGGAATCAATTGGTTTCAGTGAGTAAAATTGTGGTCATGGTTGAAGTTAAGTAAGCACTATCTGTCACTATGGGTTGAAGTTAAGTAAGGTGCACTATGTCAAATTATGATAATAAGTTGAAGTTAAGTAAGGTGCACTATGTCAAATTATGATAATAAGTTGAAGTTAAGTAAGGTGCACTGTGTCAAATTATGATAATAAGTTGAAGTTAAGTAAGGTGCACTGTGTCAAATTATGACAATAAGTTGAAGTTAAGTAAGGTGCACTACCTGTGTAGGAAAATATGTAGCCCCTGTGTCAATTAAGGTGCACTACCTGTGTAGGAAAATATGTAGCCCCTGTGTCAATAGGTGCTATGTGCCACAAAATTAGCTGAATGTACACAAGGCTTAGTGCATGCAAAAAAAGCTGAATAGATGATGTACAAATTTAGTTTTTGGTCTCATCTATACTGCAATATGAGCTACATATATCTATACTGCAATATATTTTGAGAGCTACATATATATAGGCCACTAGATTTGCAAAGCATTTGTCTGCTGTCAATCTGGCATCTCATTGTATTCATTAAAATAATATGAGATATGACCATCTGTAATGGAGATGTAATATTAACTCAACAAGATAGAGAATGATGGAAAAGTACTAGACCTGAATCATCATCTAGGAAACAGGAAACATCACATGATAGATCACAAGATAGCTGTGATTCTATAAAAGGGCTGGGAACCTTAGAAAGATCCCAGCAGAAGCTAACAAGCACGTTGATTGTTAGCCACAATGTAACTAGCAATAGAGCTACTCTGACCTTACAATCAACGTCTTAGCTTTACAGGTATTGTATCCCTCACATATAATCACCCTGTATCAAGATAAGTTCTCTAGACAGGTGCTATTTCACTTATCCCTCATGAACTTAGTCACAAGTGCTTCTCTGCCCTGCAGGCGCATAAACGTGCATCCACGACACATTTCAGTCAATAGGGTGGAATTGTAGAGTTAAAGTTACAATTGGTTACACACTGATACATGTAAAACATCCATTTTACATTTACATCATGAACTAAAATTAGTTAAACATACCTAATAACTAGTTCAGGAGCATACAAATTAAAAGCCTTTTGAATTGAAAGAGGCCACTAAAACTAAGTAATTAAGTGAATGAGTTCTACCAAAAATTAAGTCTAAATTGGAAAAAAAACATCAAAAGGAGACCAAGCAGGACTTGGAAAAAGGTCAGAACAGGTTATTCCCAGGAGGAAGAGGAATAAATTTAGTAATTAGAAATTACTAATTTTAATAATAAAACTTAGGCACAAGCTAGGTACCGTAAAATGGGATTACTTTGACCGGCGGGGTAACTTTGACCACTTTTCGTTTTTTTAACAAAAACCCCCAAAACTCAAAAACGATTCAACATAGAAAAATTTTGTCAATGGCCATCAAAGGCCTAATACTGAGGCTACATAACACAATAGAAAGATTTACTATGACACTTTCCTAAAATCTGTCTTTTGTATATGTAACTAGAAGAGTTCTACTACAATGCACCACAACCTGGAGTTATTTGGAGTTATTTTACTGAAAAATAAAATTGATTTTACCACCCGGTCAAAGAAACCCCAAGAGCTGGGGTAACAAAGACCATCACTTTTTTTTAAATTACATCAAAACTATTAAAGGCAGGAGCCAGCAATTTATGGTGAGTAAAGCTAGAGTATGGACCTGTATTTTGCATGTTTCAATTTAAGTTTAACTTATCTAGTAAAAAATGGCATCATTTTGAAAAAAAAAGTGGTAAAAGTTACCCCATTTTACGGTACATCTGAAAAGTATACAATTATTATATATCTATTATTCAAATTAATTTCATTTTTGACATAAGATAATAAAATACCTATCAGTGTGCTTTGGAATATTTAATTACATGCAAAGTTCTTGTGTAATGAACAGAAAATAAAAAAGTTAGACCTGGTCAACTACAGGGTGATTTCAAGGTAGTAAAATTCACCTTCAAACATAAATGCAATTTTTACATTTCTTTCTAATCCTTAGTAATTTAATCTAATTAATTAATAACATTAAATCTAGATGTAGATGCTACACCTCCAAGATTGTTGGCCATCAATCACAAGTTACATGTGTACACATAATGACAGTGAATGATCAATATCACTCAAGATGAATGGTCGATAGACTGAGTTTTTGGTGATTGAAGCAGAACATGGATACTAATAATTAGTTTGCAGATATAACTACACCTATACAGACTGCCAACTGATTAATGAATTTATTACAATTGTATGGTACCTGAAAAGCAATTTAAATTCAATATAGTTGATAAAAAAACTTGACCAGATGGCAATATCTTGGGCTAAAAGGCCTTAAATACAATAAAGTCTAGAGACAAGTGGAACTTGTACAAGCACAGGCAGATTTAGAAAATTCACAGGAGGCATCTACATAATTTTTATTATTATGGAAAATAACCCGATCACAAAATTTCAATTTTATTGCACAAACTTATTTTAGAGTCAAGATGATGAAACCTTTGTGATGTTGAAGCCTCAATAACCTAAATTAAATTGAATTTAATCAAATTGCACATACAAGATTTGACAAATTTTAAAAAGTTAAATATTAGTTAACCAATCTGGCATGCACACACAATATTTTTATCATCAAGAAAGTAGGATTTTTTTACTTACTTTGTTTTTTTGACTCTGAATTAGCCTTCCTAAACCCTCTAAGAGAATTGTTTGTTTTGGATGACATAGCTCTTATAATTCTTGAACTAATTTCATTAATATTTCCAAGTAATAAAGTCTGGTTAAGCAACACAACTCTTCTTTTTAGAGAACAAACACTGACAAATTTCTGTCAAAACAGAGATTAAACACATGAATATTTCATATGAAGGGATTTTTATACATGAATAATTTCAACTTAGCTGTTACTCAAATCAAACGTGCATTGAGGACATCATACTGCAGGATGGAAGTCAGAAGGAGGTGAGGAATATATATATAATAGATATTCTACATATATTATTTTATATATATATGTTTTATATGTATCTACTTTTGAAGCTGCAACTAGAGCTTTCCTGCCATTTTTGGAGCCTCAAGTTCCCACTGTATGAATTAATCTAAAATCTAATTGTTAACCCAAGTACACAAACAAGTCACAAGATTTCATTTTTATTGAAAATATGTCCCTTTGGAGCAACAAAATATTAGTAATAAGTGGGAAAGTTACAATCATGGTATAATGAATGAACAATTATGAATATCATTATGGATTAAAAACACTAAAACAGAATCTGCTTTTTTATGTAGGGATGTATGCAAGACTCATATTTTTTATATTCATTATATTCTAGCAAGTTGATGCATAAATCAAACAAATTTGAAATTTTTAAGTAGTAAGTGTTTACAGGAAATTTTATTTTTGAACTTCTGAGTGACCAGTGTTATAGGAAGCTAGTATGCAAGACGTCTAATCTTCAGGTGGCAATTAGATTCTTGGATCCATGAATTCTTGAGCTTTGAGTCCACTTTTTAGCCACTAATTGCTTACCATGCAAGGAAAAGTCATTTCCAAGCCACAAACTCATTTGCCAAGGAGTGCATGCAGTGTATCATGCCCAATCTCTAATTTTGCCCTAGAAATAGCAATAAGAACGCTTTTTCTCTACTCTAGAGGCATTTGGGCCCAATTTGATGCATTATTCACATTTTTGTTGGAGAAACAACCTAGTTAAACTGCAACATGACAAGACTACAAATATGTTATCTAGAGAATGTTTTATCTACATCTGCATTGTGCAGTATATTGTGGAGGAATACAGAAGTCCAAAATTGTCTGAAATCTTGCAGATTATGGCACTACAATGTTACATTCTGAAATATGCCACTTTAGAGTCACAAGATTTTAGTGCTGCGTAGGAAATTTCCAATCTTGCCTTCCAAGCTACAAGCTTGCAACTCTATTTGGAATATTGCAGAAGTTTCCTAAAATCACAGGTAAAAATGATCATTTCATGGGTGAAGCAGCCATTTTCATTGTTTTTTTACTGAAGAAATTGAAAGAATTCCATAGGATTGGGTGAAATTGGCCAAATTCATTCGAATTTTTTGCAAATTCATGGGTGGCTTAGGCTTTGTGCTTATTCATTTTATATTTGAATATAAAACTATCTAGTTCATATAGAGTTGCAAGCTTGAATACGTATACCAGTAATTTAAAAAAAAATTATATTCAAATTTGAATATAAAATTATCTAAGTCATATTCATTTGAATATGAATTATCTACTTGCAAACCAGGAGGTTTGCAACTAGAGCTTTCCTTAAATTTATCAAGCATCAATATTTTTAATAAAATTCTGTAAATAATTATGGATGTAATTGCGTTCAAAATTGAACTATTGAATGGCAAAATTCCTAAACTATTGAAAGAATTTCATATTACCGGTACCATCAACCGGGGCTACTCGGGACAGATTTGATCGTTTTTTTGTTAATAACTGTTAATAACTTCTTAGGATGAAACATTTCATAAACAAATTTAGGCTCATTTTATAGCTCTTTGCGAGGGCTATCAAATGGCATTGGAAAAAAATCCATATGCTATTTGTAAGGTGCCAGATGCAAAATAAAGATTGTCCTGAGTAGCCCCATCAGTCGGGGCTACTCCGGACAATGGGAATAAAACTTCATTTCAAAACATTTGAAGCATGCAGAGCGTACTCATCCATTACTAACAGTACTCTGAAGTACTCCTCTTTCATTGTAGACAATGTAGAGGTAGANGTTTGACAGCCTATTTATGTTTTTTCTTTATGTTTCAGACTCTACAGAGTCTTATATATGGTAATTTTAACTTAATTTCCAAGCCAGTCAATATTACCCCATCAGGGCTGCCATTAGGTAGTCACATTTCCCTCATTATGGGGCAGTGCCACCCATTTGCAAACTATGACACTTTCCTCAAGTTTGTCATTTGCATACGTAACTAGAAGAGTTCTACTGCAATGCACCAAAACCTGCAGTTATTTGGAGTTATTTTACCAAAAAATATAATTGATTTTACCACCCGGTCTAAGATACCCCAAGAGCTGGGGTAACAAAGTCCATCACTTTTCTTGAAATTACATAAAGACCATGAGAGGCAGGAGCCAGCAATTTATGGTGAGTGAAGCTAGAGTATAGACCTGTATTTTGCATGTTTCAATTCAAGTTTAATTTAGCTAGTAAAAAAATAGCATTTATAAAACAAAGTGGTCTAAGTTACCCCATTTTACGGTACCTAAAATGTATTAAAAGTTTATGTTTCCAGAAATATTTCAATGCTGTTAACATTGAGAAACTTCAGAGTATCTCTCTTATCATATAGATATGATGAATAAACTGCAATTTGGCTACATACATCACTCAAAACCATTTTCAGAACTTATATCCTCAGTCTGCTTAAAACAAAAGTTAACAAGGAATTTCAAAGCAAAGAACATCAAGTAAATTCACCATATTGATATTAAAACCCTTTTGGAGTCCAGCTCCATTGTCAGTTCAACAATCTAGAAAATGAAAACAACCATTATAATTCAAAATCTAAAGTCAGACATTAAAACCTAAAATTGACAAATAAAAGACAAATCAACCCTAAAATTTGAAACAAATGTGAAAAAACTAGAAAATAAACACTAGAAAATAAATGGCTAGCAATTCACAATTTCAAGAGGATATGAACTGTGTGCATTATGAGACACGGTTTCCATTTGAAGATATGTAGTGATTTCAGAATTCTCAAGTCCAAACAGCCAGAGGTGGAACTGAGTATCCTGGAATCACTCTCCAATACAGCCACATCACACTGTTCAGCATAGATTTGCATGGAGAATGAGGAGGCTTGCCAAGAAGCAAACTTGAATGCTAGCTCCTGCCACGGTGTTCAGAAATCTGGATGTTTTGCGGCATCACTCCAATGTGCGCATGCTGATGCCCTGCACATACAACTAGGTATAATCATAGACCAAATTCAATCACATCTGGGCAGGAATAACTTCCTTATACACAAAGAAAGAACCAATTATAAAATTATTTGCCAGCAAAACATTCAAATAATGTATCAGTCTTGGTGAAGGGGAGGTAATGCAGAATAAGACCGGGTGCCTTTTGCCAGGACTGACAAGTACCGCCAATCCTAGAACTGTACCATGCTTACCAGTCTTCACGTTTCATTTTGCTGCTTTCAATACTAGATTGGAATTTTCCTACTTTTGAAAAAAATCTTGCAGTTGTATTAAAAAAAAGTATTGTGCAGTTGTATTAACAATTGGATGGGAGATAATTCGTCTGGCTGGAATCTCATGGCTCAAAAAATGACGGGAAAGCTCTAATCACAGCTCAAACATGAGATATATTCTAACCCAGCTTTAATGGAGACAATCAATTTTTATTTTTATGAATGAAACTGAACCACAGAATTTTTAGCAAAATCAGAAGTCATAACAGATTCTTAGTAAGTAGTAAGCACAGTAGTCTCTAAAGAAACTGCACATATCTTGCTGCTTGTCACTAAAAATAGTATAATATTGATAAAAAAGTAGGAATTGTATTGTTTGATCACCACATAATGTCTACAAAGCTGTTTTGGTTGTGCTATAAAGATCTGGTTCAGTTTTACGGATAAAATAGATTGTCATTACTGAAGACCATCATTAGGCCAGCAACAGAGCAACCTAAGTGTCGCTGGACACTGGCAAGGTTGTTTGCATTGACGTTAATGAACTAAATTTTACCAATTTATTAAAACAATTTTATGAAAACCCTACCTACACTAGATTTTTAACCTTAATTTTAATTCTGGAATTGATTCAACATATTATTTCAATATGCATTATTTTACTTTTTACTTTTGCCTAATTTAGCTTCCTGGTTAATTCATATCTAATTCATATCAAATCGCGGAAGCGAATGGAGGAAGCCGGCAGAAGAGGAGGCAACAATGATTCACCCCCACAACGATGGGCTCCTGCTGGACGCCAGCCCACTCCCTCACAGTCCCCACCATCACAGGGAAGACAAGGCGGTGATAGGGTTGCAAGAAACACTGGTAGGAGCGGTGAGGAGGGTAGTTCTTGGAGGAGGGATGACCTAGCTACTCCAGGGAGTGGCCCAAGCGTATGGGACAGAGACGCACGCGGGGAGCCAGAGATTACCTACGGCACTTTTTTAGAAATGAGGTATTAGCTGGAAATGATTCAACTCCAGATGCAGGAGCTGCTGGGCCAGAGGCGCCAGGCAGAGTGGTGGAGACGCAGGTAAGCACACCAATAAGGGAAGAGTCTGGCATTCTGCTGGCCAACATCGAGGGGCTCTTCCCACTGAGAGCGTGTCACAAGATTGGCGTGCTGCGTGAGATGGCCGACGAGGGTGGGATCTTTATGATTGCACTAACGGAGTCGCACCTAAGAAAAGATATCCTCGATGCAGAAATTACAATGGAAGGATTCCAACACTACCGCGCGGACCGGAAAGAAGGGAGAAAGAAGGGTGGAGTAATTGTCTACCTTAGGAACTCCCTCGCAAGAAGCACTGTAGAATTGAGATCGAAATCTGGAAACTCTGACGGCTTTGTTGAATACGTGCTACTTCACATAAAAAAATATGACTTGTGCGTAGCTATAGTCTATAGACCGCCTGCTTGTCCGCCGGAAAATTTCAAAAAAACCCTTAAGGAAATAGAGACCAGGGTGGCTGAACTGGGTGACCCAGCCCCCAGCCTGATAATTGGTGGGGACTTCAATCTCCCAC